AAGAACAGGGGAGATATGCGGGGGCAGGCGGAAACACGCTTGAAAAACACGATTGTCGGCATGCTTCGCAAGAGTTGTTGTTTTGAGATGGGCTAGTGGGGATACGCGAAGCGTGAAGAATTCGAGAGGTCTGTCATCAATTCTGGCAATTTTCTTAACCGACAATTGTTTGAGAACGGTGGTCGGCTTTTCCATTGTAAAAACGTCCGCATTGATGTGAGACGCCTCTCCCACACGATTTGTTGTTAAGACCCGTGGTTTCCATTACGCATGCTCAAAATGATCTGCCAATGCATGCCGCGTTCTTTGCTTTCCAGCTAACTCCCCATTCGAATCTTTGGTTTGGATTGACTTGTTCGCGGGCCAACTGTCGAATTGCTCGCCAAAGGCCGCCGTGTAATTGGTCAGCAAGCCATGTGTTCTCTTACAGAATTCCGGCGAACAACGCTCCTGGCAATTAATAAACCTGACGTATTCAACAATGCATGGCGGGCACATGTTTGATTTATTCGCTATATCCCATCTAAATTTCCGGTGATGGTGTCGACATGCATTGCCCACGGAATACGTCGCTGTGACATTCCGTAAGAAAGCGATCAATACGGAGTGTTTTTTGTTTATGAATTGCTCGCAAAAGAAAATACCCATACAGAAAGCTTTGCGCACATTAACGATTACATATCGGATGCTCCACTGACCATCCTTTTTCAAATATCAAATCAAATCGTGAAATGCCGCTCGCATCATGGCATTTCTTGCCGGAAGTTTGGTCGTCCATCTCGTCGGACAAATTGCGGGAACAGAAAAATTGGCAATATTCCGGGGGTAATAGAGTTGCCCTGAAATTCTCCTCTTCGTGCAGAAAACTACCCCTCCTCATCCCCAAATGTTTCTGAAACAACGGCTCCCTCTACATTCATGCGACACATGTTAGGCTCCAACGAAGGCCAGTACCACCGCCCACATGCTTCATCTACACCAATCTCGTCATACCCCTCACACGCTTCGCGGCCTCATAAGGAACTTCGCCGAAGGCCACAATGCCGCCCGCATGGGTCACCGGATCACCGGATAGATCACCAAATCGGTTTGGCCACAATCATTGGATCACCACATCAGCTGGCCACAACACCGGATCACCATATTAGTTGGCCAGATCAGCTTGATCACCAAATCAGCTGGCCACGACACCAAGTCGCTGAATCATCAAATCCACTGCCCGATCACCAGATCAGCCGGATCTGCCGGGTCAGCCGGATCAGCTGTGCGTAACGTCGCGCGAACAGTCTGTGATTCAATAAGTGCTGTCTGTGATTCGGCGCGCGCGGTCTATGATTCAATCTGTTGTCTGTGATTCGGCGCGTGCGGTCTGTGATTCAAGGTATATTGTCTGTAATTCGGCGCGCGCGGTCTATTCAATGTGTGCTGTCTGGGACTCGGCGCGCGCAGTCTGTGATTCAATGTGTAGTGTTTGTGATTCGGCGCCCGCGGTCTGTGATTCAAAATGTGGTCTGTGATTCAGAACCTCGGACAAAACTGTAGCCCGAGCGCTCATGTTCTCAAACATCGAAGCCATCTCTTCATTGATCTGTTTCATATCGTACCCTACGTCCTGGACCACGCGCATTGTAGGACCCATTTGCGTCTTGGACATTTTCCATCGCGATTTCGTTGCAACTGGCTCCTCATCGTCATCTTCGTGTTTTTTTTTCATCAGCTGCAGGGTGTCTCAGAATTGAGGAACAGGAGGCGGTGGTCGAAGGCGTGCGAGTTATGTGTCGTCGTCCAACTCGTTCAAGGGGCTGTGCAAGCCAATTTCTTTCTTTGGCCTATAAATGGGATGTAAAAGATGAGTGATACAGAATAGGAAGTAGGGTATGGGGTGTGGTGCCCTTGAAGTGCCCTTGACGTGCCCTTGAAGTGTCCTTGTGCCCCCCCGCGTTCGCATTTTTGGCTTATGAGGCGAATTGCGTTTCAATCGTTTAAGAATCCGACCATTGGGCGACAAATAAATCAATTAACATTTCTATCTTCTGCGGGGAGAGAACATTCCGTTCCCTCCCTGAGGTTTTGGGAAGGGGATCGATGTGTCAGAGGGTCCTTCATCAGCCCCTTGGAATGCAACTTGTGATCATTTTTCACGAGAAGGAGAACCCAATTGATGCCCTGTTCCGTTTGACAAAATATCCCATTCCGAAGTTGATTCGGAAATTGCTGTTTATTTTGTATTTCGCGTCGATTGTGGGTTCGATTGCGAGATCGATTGGTTTCAATTCCGCTAAGTGAAATTGTGATTTGACCGTCGATAAAGAAATTGTTTATAAAATGTTGCAAAGGATTGCTTGCGGTATTCCGCCGGCTTCCGCGGGGAAGTGTCATTCATGTGCACGGCCGCCCATCCAGAAACGATGCCTATAGAGGTAACTGTCTTGTGGAACGGATTTGGGACCAATTGGAGCATTTAAAATTGTAATATCTGAATTATATTCGAGGTCATCTTGGGCTCTGTGGAGCCGTTCGGGAGTTTCTTGCTTCTCGGGTGCCTTTTCGGTTGCTCTTTTGGGGGCCCCTTGGGAGCCTTAGCGCGCCTCTTGGGGCCATCTTGGTTGGAAGCAATCCACGCTTTCATCGCTGATGCTGTTTTCTTCTGGCTACCACCACCGTTCATTCATAAACTATTCCGTTGCGTCCTGATGGAACCAATACGCCACGTGGGGTTCACGCGCCAAACATTACTTCATCATGGAGTCGCGATTGATAAGCATTTCGACATTGTTGGTCTGGCAGGTCGTCTCCGTGGTGAATGCCGGAATGATTGGCAATAAATGGCATTAGACAATTTGTTGTTATAAAGTGGGCCGCGTAAATTGACTGAGTGTTTTTTAAACAAAAAACGATATCGGAAGAAAATCCAACACGCGCGAATAATAATGAATCATTAATGCGATACTTCATGATTTGGCTTAGCGCAAGTTCCACAAGAATTGTCTTAAGGACTTTTTGGCAAGTTGCTGGGCCGCAATATTTTCATGATAGCGATTTGTTTCCGAATTTGATTCTAGGCTCCCTGCGTATCCTCTGAATCAAAGCCAGGTGTAAGAGATCGAAACTGTTGTGAATTGAGACCGATACCAGCAAGTGGGTCTCAATGAGCTTAAATATAAGAACCGATCAATATACCAAAGTCGGTATCGCGTGGGGTCGCGAAAACGTAAGTACATCATTTGGCATGGACTTACGAAACTCAAAAGTCACGGCGTGCTTCTCATCAATTGCTTGGCCGCCGAACCCAAAATTGTCGCGAAAGTCCCAATTATCCCGCCTCGCGCCCTCGACAAACACGACAGAGCACACCTGCATGCCGCGGCCGCCAGACCCCAAATTGTCCCGAGTGTCCCGGTCATTGTGCGTCGCGCCCTCGACAAACACGACAGAACACACCCTGCATGCCGCGGCCACCAAACCCCAAGTTGTCCCGAGTGTCCCTGTTATGCCGCCTCGCGCCCTCGACAAACACGACAAAACACACCCTGCATACCGCGGCCGCCAGACCCCAAGTTGTCCTGAGAATCCCTGGTATTCCGCGAACATGACAGAACAGAGCCAGAACATCACAGAACATGGCAGAACATAACAGAACAATCTCACCGGCATATCACATAACATACCAGGACCAGAACATGACATAATTTAACATAACCGATCATAACATAATACACATTGGCATAACAGATCATACCATGGCACAACGCCACCAAACATATCGTAAGACCACAGCAGAGCATAGCGGCGACCTTGCCTGAACACAACATGTCACACCATGCGATAACATAACATATTCACGAACATGCCATAACATATCATACCATAACATAACATACCTGACACACAAAGAGCAGACTACAACATAACAAAACACGTCATATCATAACATGGTAGAACAGAAGGCGACATACCACAACATAACATAACATAACACAACCGATGACACCATAATACACCTTGGCATAACATCCCATATCAGTGCACTTTATCGCAAAACGTATCATGGCACGACAATCTAGCATATCGTTACAATTAGCATAGCGGGTCATACTTTATTGTGCCGAGCCGTCCACAAACAAAACATCCCATCACATACCAGAGCATAACATTACACAACAGAAGACGACATACAACAACATAACGTAATGAAACCGATCACAACATCATGGAACACGGTTGAACCGTTTTTGAAAACAGAAGCGGCAGTAGTGCAGAACAAGACATACCAAATTACAATAAGACATCATAGCATAATTTACTATCTTGAACCGAGCCGGCAACACTATCACGGAAGATCTCATATTATAACATCAACTGAGAAAACATAGCATGCTCTAAAATGGTGCCAAAGGGTATCACATAACGTACCAAATCATACTGAGGCAAAAACGTGCATGATAGAACATACTTTCACGAATGAGATAACGGAAGGGCAGAGGGATATCGTAACATAGTACACCGTACGTGCACTTTAGTCAGCGTCGCCACAGGAATCAAGAGTCACATCAATGAGCGATACGACAATGTCTCTAGCGTGACAGGCGTCACGACGTCACGCTGGCCCGTCGATATCATAACATCAGAGAACACAGCGTCATATTCTACGTCGGGGCAGGATCCTACCACACACACGCACACACACACTTTAGCACAACATCGCGTATACAGTAGCCGCAACTCGACGGTGTCGCAGGCGTCACGACGTCACGCCGGCCCGTCGAGAACATACATAGACATAGTAGGTTAGAGAGTGACTCCCTGGAGTACTGTCCAGCGCTTTTGAATACAGCAACGCCGGGCACTGCGCGCATCCCTCCAGAAGGCGCGCGCACCGTTGGGACCGAACGCCAAAGGTTTCGGTGGGGATCGCTCGAAGCATTTTTTTGTGTGTGTGTGTTTTTCTTCCCCCAACCCCCCTCTCTCTCTCATTCTACCTCTCTCTCTCTCTCCGATTCGTGTCCCCTCCGATCGATTTCGGGACTTCGCCGGAGCTAGACGGTCGACTGGCCAGGCTAGTCGGCCGAGCGTGCCACGCCTTTGGCGATCACGTAGCGGAAGAGGCCGGACCACGTCAGCAACGTCATGACGACGCCCACCAGCAGAAACGCGAGCCCATCGAAGGTCGGAGGAGGGCCGGTCGAGGCAAGGGCGGCCCTCCCGGGATCCTCGGTGGCCTTCTGCGGGCCTCCTGGGAGCTTCTCGTGGCCACGGCTGGATCCAGTTCGAAGCGTGGGTCAAGCTGGACCCCGGAGGGGATCCAGAGGCCAACTCTTGAAGGATGGGCGGGCGAGCCGCCGTCGTCTCCAGAGGCCTTCCTCCGAGACGGCTCCCCCCCGCAGCATCTGCCCACGCGCGTGGGCCGCGAAGCCGGCGATGACCACGTCCGTCCTGTCAGCGATGCTCACCTGCGAGAAGCCGGCGAGGACGAAATCGGACTCGAGCTCGGCCGCTGTCCTCAAGTTCTCGGCCGGGATGCCGAACAGCCACCCCGCGGCCTGCAGCATGCTCGCGTCTGCCACTGGAGCAGCCACGATGTTAGGTTTGCAAACCGATGGCCCTGACCTCGTTTGCGACCTCGTCGCAAGCCGGAGGCGTCGTTCTGGGGCCCCAAAAGTGACCTGGAACCTTGACAGACTAAACTTTCCGTTCGCCGTGCGGCATGACAGCCAGCGGTGGGCTTTGCATCCGCAATGCCAAAGTCACCAGTAGGCCCACAAACCCCTCTCCCAAACCTGGCCGCTGACGGCCCCGGTGATTACATTGGGGCGGCAGGTCTCTCGGCAAGCGGTTTCCGCACCAGACATGTCTGCCGCAGCCAGCCCCCCGCCGTCGCGGAGCGCCCGAGAGGCCGAGCGCAGGAAGGAGGCGCGGGTGACGAAGTGGTACGCGCAGTCCACGGCGACGACACGATCCACAGAGGCCGGCGCCACTGTGCCAAGCAGGCTGCCCACGTCCCCCTGGCGCAGCGACGCCCTCCCCTCCAGGACCTCGGCCCGGAGGCGCCCGCGGGCGGCCTCGGTCTCCGCAGGCGACAGGTTGAGGCCGAGCACCCGGGAGGCCCCGAAGCGCTCCAGCAGCCGCAGCACGTTGTCGCCGCGGCCGCTCCCCGCCTCCAGCACCACGTCCCCCGGCGCCACGCCCGCGGCCTCGGAAACGCAGTCGGCGAGCGCCGCTGCTGCCTCGGGGTAGGCCATGCCGTCGCGCGTCCACAGGCCGAAGTTCAGCCACTCGGAGCCCCCGCCGCCGTTCAGCACGCCGCAGACCTCACCCGAGAAGCCGCAACGAAACACACTGCACAAAGCACAGGCGTTCCGGAGCTCCGCGCGGAGTTCTTGGGTCGGCGCTGGACCCCCCCCCTTTGGCGCGCGGCGCACGCAATGCGCGCGGAGCGCGCCAGGGGCGGCGCCAGGGGCGGCGCCGGGGGGGCTGCCACCCTCCTTGCGCGCGGCGCGCGCACCGCGCTGGCCCCGCGGGCGCCGTCAGGGGGGCCGCCCAGCGCCGACCCAAGAAACCTGCGCGGACCTCTGGAAACCTCGTGCTCTGTACAGGATTATGTTCCATCGAAGACCGGGCTGAGCTCCGTGTACAGCCTCGACCAGAGATCTGGCGGAGCGAATTCTGTCGAGGCATGACTCGGTCGGCGCTGTTGCCATCACTGCTTGGAGGCTCTCTGCGAAGCATACGCTGGGGCCCCCCCTGCTCACGAACGGCGAGCGCATCCACATGCACGCCCTCGCGACTTAGACTCCAAGGCGCGATCCCTTGCATACGCGGTCGCATGGATAAGTCGTGTGGGGCATCCGCGAAAAGACGCCCCGCATCCACAGGGTCGCAGCTCAGGAGCCCGACCCGCGGGGCCGTTGATGCGGATATGATGCTTTCCGCCCGCGGGCAAAAAAGCTGGCCCCCCCTCCGCACCGAGCCCCCAAGACATGTGCCGACGCGGACGCTTGGCTGCTAGTCCCCAGCTTGCTCCCGCCCCGCGAACTCAAAAAGGTCCTGGCATGGCGGCCCGTCGGCTCCACCCCGCACGCCGACGCCCCCCCCCAGCCGCCTGACGCCCACTCTTCAGATCCACCCCGCTACGACAGAGTGACGAATAAAGCCGAAGTGGCGGATGACTGGCCGCCTCGATCTCTTCGAGCCGCCAGACATCTGGGGAGAGATGGGCCCCGTCCCCTGTCGCCTGTCTGGCGGCCATGACTCGGGCCTCGAGCGGCCGTTTGGCACGCTTCCGGCATCCCCGGGGCGCCCCCGACGAGGCGCAACTGATGGAAACCAGCAGTGGTCGAACACCTCCTACTGGGGATATCCGGAACCTTCTGCAAACTTTCGAGCCCAGATATCCGGCGCTCCAATCTCTGTCGCTGCGTGGGCCCTGGACCGCTTCCCCACGGCTGGCTTTTCGTCCTGAGCTTTTGCTCGACGGCCCCGTGGAGGGCCCCCGGAGGCCGAAAACGGCAAAGACTGGCTGTCCCGACTTTTTCGGAGCCTCGGCGTGCGCCTCTGGATCCGGAGCTGTCCGCGAGCTTGCGAACCCTCGAGGCAGAAGACGGCCTCGGCAGCCGGGGGCCTTGGCCCGGCGGCGGCGCGGGCGCCGCCGAGCAGGGCCCAGCGGCTGCCGCTGCCGCGCCAGCTGCGCACGCCGCCGCCGTGGCAGTGCAGCGCGCCGTCGGGTTTGGGCAACGGCGGCCCCTGAAAAGCGGTGCGCCTCCGCGCCACCAGGGCTCCGGTGCCGGTCTGTCTCCAGGATCGCCCTGGGAGGAGGAGGAGGAGGAGGAGGAGGAGGAGGAGGAGGTCCGTACATGATCACCTTCATCAACCGTTAGCAGCAGCAGGAGGTCCGTAGCCATTTCGGCTCAAGCTCAAGCCATCTTAGCTCAAACCATTTTGGCTCAAGGCTCGAAATCCTTGTCGCGGGATTTCGAACCGAGGTTTCCGCCGCCGTGCGACGTCCATCAGGGGGACGCCCGACGTGAATTCGCCTCCCAGACTTGCGCCAAAGCACGCGGTCTATTCAGCTACGTTTCCTTTCCTCGCCAGTGAACTTCCTGTTCGGTGCCGCAGGCATGCCGAACACACGGAAATGCTCGCAATATCAGGTGCAGGTTCCCAACTTGAAGTGTTTCTTTCTGCACATGTGGCACGAAATCCTGAGAGGCATCATCCAGACGGGCTCCCAGCAGAGGCAGAGACATCAAACCAGAGACTGCCAAGGCTGTCAAGGCTCAGCAGATGGAGTTGGGAAGAATTGTAGCCCGCATCATGCCAGCCAGTCCAGAGAACGCGTATCAACGCCCTCGCTATTGCCTGCCGATTCTCAAGAATTGCAGCCCCTCTTCCGCTCGGAGATGAAGAACAACATCCGTCACTTCCCTTGCCTCCCTACTCAAAGGCCAGCAGAGCCGCGGGAAGAGACGCCTCAACAATCATTCAGGAAACTGCGGTATTAAAGTTCATCATCTCGAAACTCAAGCAACTAGACAAGCAGATCGCAGCCGTCAAGAAACACATCGAGAATAAAATCACCAAAGCGGCCGATATTCAGAAAGTAGACGACCTCCAGTCCGAGGCCAATACCATTGTCTACGACGTGGACGCGCTCAAGCAGGCGTTGGAGCAGCTCTACCAGGAGGAGGCCGACACCGAGGCGGGCATGTCCGACGTTCCCACAAGCGCCAGGCCTTCGTCCACATCGGCCGCGCCCGCGCAGTCGCCTACACGGAAGCGTGCGAATGTTTGGTTGCCTCCTACACCTCCTCCGCCACAGTCTATGCATCTCGGCCACCCTGGAGATCCCAACAGCACGGTTGCGCAGGCAGTCTCCAGCCTCCAGGACCATATGGCCCAGCAGGATGCGACGATCAAGCAGATTTTGACGTGCCTGTACATGCAAGCCCACCCGCAGCAACCCCAGAGCTATCAGCCTCCAGGTGGCACCCCACATCCAGTGGGGTTTCGCACGCAGGGTCCAGCGGCCCCAGAGACTCTTCCTGCGCTCCTGCAGCACCTGCCGCCTCAGACCAGTTGCAGTTCGACTCAGAAGCCACAGCAGCAGCGCAGCCAGCCAGCATCAGCTCCTGCAATCGCGCCTACTCCGGTTCAAGGCGAGCCATTGGTCTCCCAATTCCTCACCCCGTTCGCAGTTCTGGACCAAGACCCTTGGTGCGTGGCCCAATGGAGAGTCGCAGGAGACTCCTCAGGTGAATCCACCACAGCTCGCAGCCACACAGCCAATGGAGAACAACGACCAGCAGGAGGTTATCCCAGGTCCCACTTCCAATTTCTGTCTGCCTCCGCCGGCCCCAAACACTTTGGCGCAGCAGCTCTCCCTGGTGCAGTCCCTTCAGTCAGAGGCGCAGGCCTTGGCAGTACCAACCTCCCCCAATGGAGCGGACGTGGCGCCTGGCAGTGCGGAGAAGCGCTCGTTCACTCTGGAAGACCTGTCGCCGCCCAAGAAAGAGCCCAGGGACGAGATCCGGCCCGCGGACGAGGTAGCCATCGAGACGGCCGACGGCAAGCTGCAGCCATTTCTTCCTCCCCCAGGCGCTGAATGGTCATTAGGGGACGAGCAAGGCCTCTTACAGTCACCTGGGGAGTCGCCGAGTACATCGCATGCGACGAGGACGGCGACCTTCCCCACCGTGAGACCAAGTTCGCCATGGACTTATCCAGTTCAGGATTCAATCCTTCTTTTGATTCTAGAGCAGCGTGCAACGCCTCACCGCAGTAGCAGCAGTCGTCACATCAGCTCGACCCAGTCAGCCCAGCAGTCTTAGACAACGTCATCCCGATGGCCCCCGTCAGCGGCGGGAAGCTCACCATCAGCCTGGACACCATGGCCGTGGTCAGGAGCGAAGACGCCCAGTTCACAGACTGCGGCATCGGGGACTACACGAGTCCTGAAGTCCATCCTTCAGTTTGGGGACTTCCTCCAGCCTCTGAAGGGCCTCAAGGGCGTCAAGCTGCATCCTGCAGCTCAATTCGGCCAAAATGTTTCACAACCGCCTCTCAGGAGGCCACTATATCTCTGCGCGGACGGGTCTTTCAAAAGGTTTCAGGACAGCTCATGGGCGTTCGGCACAGTGGGCATGACTATACTGTCTCTTACCTGGGATATGCCAAAGGTTTCATATCCAACACGTCCGCCATCAATATCGGCCCTAACATTTGGAAGGACTCGGTACTGTCTAGTACTACCGTGGAACTATTTGGTATTATTTGGGCCTCCATTTGGGTGCTAGGCTACTACGCATGTATCCTTATGCACGACAATATGACCATGCCGAGTATCCCGTTCATTTTTTGTGACTGCACGTCCGCCATCGGTAGTGCCAGTTGGGATTGCACACCTCCATCAAACAAGGACCTGAGGGCTCTCGCACACCATGTGTCCATGCTGGCCAAGTGGGCTCACGGGGTCTCCTTAGTACATGTACGTGGTCATGCGCACAATCCGTGGAATGAGCTAACTGATAGTATTGCTCAGTCGGAGGTTGCTCGCATGTCAGACTTGAGCGAGGACCTCATCCAGGCGCTCTACTACACCCAGCACTTGAGTAGTGCTGGATTGCTTTCTCTACCCCGCAAGCGCTCGCAACTTACCCGCTGGCACCAAGCAAGGCCGACGCACTCCGCTGATGGCGCGCTGGAATCAAATGCTCGCAGCCGCCTTTCCAGCGGGCCATGATCGCCACTTCGTTTAAGTTCAAGATTTTGTCTCGCAACGTCTGCTCCGCCCTGGGCAGAGGCCCTGGAACCCCGAAGAAGCCCCCGCAGTTCAAGGGAGACCTCCTCAGGCACCAAATCGCGGCCAAGGACATCTTGCCTGCAGGGGTTCAGGAGGCCCGCAACCCCGCTGGCAGGAAGACCTCCAAGGGCCACAAGAGGCAACTTGGGGTGCGAGTTATGGGTCTCGACGCAGGCTCACTATGTGCACATCGACGGGGTCCCCAAGTACCTCTCGGGCAAGCGCGTCGTGGGCCACTGCGCGGACCCCCGCAAACTCATCGTTCAAATCGACGCCCCTAGGTTCACAGTCGTCGTCATGGTATTGCACGCTCCACATGCTGCAGCTGGCCTCCAGGAGTTCACCACCTGGTGGGCCAACACTACGCAATTCATTAGGGATTTCAAACTGTAGGCCATAATGGCAGACGCGAACGCCAGAGTCGGTCAAGTTCTCTCCAGCGCAGTTGGACCTCGTGGCCTGCGCCAGGCGGAGCCTCTCAACGGAGAGCTGTTTTATTCTTGCCTGCTCGAGACGGGCCTCATCGCCGCCAGCGCTGTTTCCATGCCCCTCGCTGAGAGGCCTTTCGCATGGCAGGCGCACGTGCGCAGGCCATGCGCATCATATGGATTGCACCTGCATGTGTAGTCTTTGGGCTTCGCGAGTATATAGTCATACAGTGGGCCGCTCCTTAGTCGGGGGCGGCCAAGAGGGGGCGCGTGCGCGGCCCAAGGGGGGGCCAGGGACGTAATGAAATAAGAAGAGGCGCCATAACATCTGGGGAAATATCATGGCCCACGCCATGATATCCACCCACCCATAGTCATCACCCCCCTCTTTGCCGCCCCCGACTTAGACGACGTGAACTGCGATCCCGGTCAATCGCCGCTCATGTGCAGCATCGTATCCGGCAGCCAGGAGCAGATGTCCAGGCTCAGGCTCCAATGCGACCCCACGGCCCTCAAGGGCCCAGATAAGGTAGCCCACTTCCTGGTCCTCGCGCAGGCCACCCCGCGCGCGCACGCTGCCTTTCCTACCGGCACTATGGTGCCTACCAAGCCTCACGCATCCGACAAGTTACTCAGCGCGACCCAGTTCCGCCGCCGCGCGCGTCAGACCCTTAGGACATGGAGGCGCATGGGAGGCAGCATTTTTTCGCACGGTGCAGGAGATGTCCAGGAGGGGCTTCACCATGGTCCTCATGGCAGGCAAGGTGGTCAGGGCAGGCAAGCAGCAATTCGCTAGACTCCCAGCAGGAATCCAGCAGCATGGCATCATGTTACCCATCGCAGACCAGTGCACACATCTAGGAGGACAACTGAGCTCCCTTTCAGGCATGGGCCCAGAGGTAGCCTACCGTTGCAGGCAAACATCGGGCCCCTTGGGAATCCTCAAGCGCTTGGCTGTCAAACCCACTGGGGCCCCTGTAGATAGCAACCTCAAGTATGTTAACGCCTTGTGTCTCTCCTGTTTGTATTTCAACTGTGCTATCTGGACTCAGCTCAATGCCAAACAATGTGAGTCCTTGGGGCAGAAGAACTTACATCGCTTGAGGGCCGCTGTCCGCATTCACTATAATCAGAACTTTACTAGGCAACTAGGCGCTCACATCATTTACGTAGAAGCAAAGTCTCTCCCTGCTTCCACATACGCACGGCTTCGCCGGTTAGCCTTCCTGCCACGTCTTGTGCTGCGCGCCCCATGCATGTTGCGCGCGCTCCTGGACATGACCGCTAGGCGCGCAGACAATTGGTCACGC